AAATCAGATTTTAATTTCGGTTTGGTCAGAAAAAAGTTACATTTTTTTCCCCATGGATAGGTCCGTTTTAAACTACCGGTATATTCAAATGTTTTTTTTGTCAACAAAATGTGCTGTTTTTTGTTTTTTTTTTTTCCCTGAAGAAAAACTTGGACTTTGAAAGTCTGTGACACTAGGATCTTGGCGTTAAAAGAGTGATTTTAGTATGCTTTGTTTTTCGTTAAACGAGGTGCTGAAGAGCAACACAGCGGCACTGGTGGAGCTCAACATCAGCAAGAACCTGGTGGGTTCGGCCATGGCAGGCAGCGTCGGCGGCTTCAACGCGCACGCCGCCAACATCGTGGCGGCCATCTTCATCGCCTGCGGCCAAGTGAGTGCGCAGTCGGGTTATTCTATCTCTCTATTTTATGTTTAATTAAGAAGATGGCGATGAAGAGTTTCTTGGAATTTTATCCTGTCAAATGTCAGGAAGACCCCCAAAACCCAAGGCGCCAAACTTTGGGGGAGGGGTGGGGGCTGAAAACTCTGACTAAATGACAAAACCAACTCCAGATCCCGTCATGGCCATTTTCCATGTAAAGCGAAGTGAATTGAAGGCGAAAGTGGCGCTCGATTCGTCACCGTCAATGGAAAACGAACCGCAAGGCTTCAGGTCGGTTGAAAACGGACGCCGTGTTTTGTTGGCAGGACCCCGCGCAGACTGTCGGCAGCGCCAACTGCGTCACGCAGATGGAAGCGGCTGGCCCCGATGGCGAGGACCTCTACATCAGCTGCACCATGCCCTCCATCGAGCTGGGGACCGTCGGCGGGGGCACCAACCTGCCGGCGCAGCAGGCCTGTCTGCGGGTAACTAACGAACTAACTAACAGAGGAAACCAAGTTGCTCATTGTAAATAACACTTGACACTTCCAGGAAGAACGTTTTTTTTTTTCTTTTTCTCACTCATCTTTTTGCCAAAAGGAAAACAAATCACCTTTACTGAAAATGTTACTTTTCTCGCTGCTCATGGGAAGTCATCACCCTGTGACAATCGTAGGCTTATTTATTTCAGGAAGTGTTGTCCTTAAAATCAATCAATCGTTCCAAATCGTTTGTGCGTAGATGCTTGGAGTCCAAGGCACCAGGCCAGACCAGCCAGGCGAGAACGCCCGGCAGCTGGCCCGCGTGGTCTGTGCCACCGTCCTGGCTGGGGAGCTCTCCCTCATGGCGGCCTTGGAAGCGGGACAACTCGTCGAGAGTCACATGACCCACAACAGGTGCGGCCAAAGACTCGTCCGTTTCTTTTGAAGACAAGAAACAAAAAACGGTCATGGTATTTCCCCCAAGAAAAACAAGGTGTCATAAGAGAAAAAAAATATGAGGTCCTAGTGGGTGGCAACCATGAGGGGAAAACAAGCTTTCCATTGATTTATTTTTGTATTTAATTGGGAACACAACAGTGTCAATGCGCCGGACTTAGCATCTATGCTAACTTCCTCATGTAGGACGTGACGGTCTCTGTATACTCGCGGAGGTCAGTGATGCTGTCGTTGGTGGTAGCTGCCTGTTTGAACACACTCCGGTCTGTGGGGGAGAAGCAGTCCCCCGAGTGCCTCTGTGGACCCCTCGGACCATCCATCCGACCAGACCGCTGCAGACTCTCCAACAGCGCCGCCGTCTTCCGCTAAATAAAACGGGACTGTGAACAATGCTGCCCATTGCAGGCGCAAAAAACAGCCCCGGGGGGCGACTCAGCGGCGACAGTCCTCAACAATGAAAATCGGCGATGGGACACTCGTGCTGCCGAGAAGGCTAAAACCTCCGAGCACAGATTCTTCTCATTTGACGAATGCCGTGGCCAAAAGCGCTGAAAACAGTCCAGATCGGGTCCACGCCAAGTACCTACAACCACCATGTGACAAAACAAAAACAAACAAACAAAAAAGCAAAGCTCTTGAAGAGCGCTGGCCGATTGCTGCCTACTAGGGTGCCATCTTGGGGGAAAAAAAGAAGGGGGGTGGGGGAAGTCAAGCTTATTACCCCCCCCCCCCCAAAAAACAAACAAAAAAAAAAAACGTGAGTTTATTTTCTTGTGAAAAAAAATGTGCACATTTTTTCAAAGAAGACCAAAAGTTGGGTGACACCTGGTAAGAACCAAAACATTTAAAGTTGTGACGTCTTCAGTCACGAATGCTGACGCCAGGCTGTCGTCGCCTTGTTGGTTTCAGGTCCAAATCCAACTTGGCCGCCATGTCGTCACCTTCTGGGGACGCCTCGTGACACTTGCTGACGCCGTTTTCCTGTGGAAGATGGATGCCGGCGACCATCTTGACATCCGAGTCGTCAGAGTCCATGCTGTCGAGCGACTCGAGACTTGACGTGCGATGCCCACAGCAAGAGCTCATTTGGCTTTTCTTTTTGAATGCTTGTTTTTTTTTTTGCAACGAGTAGACTCTCTAAAGTGGGATGTTTAAGCCATAAAAGCACTACAGATTTGAAAGAAGGCTCCGAACTTTGAAGTGTATTTTGAGTCTACTGGAATATGAAACTACATGTATACCCATAATACCCATGTTGAGAGAACCACGTAGTATACACATTTCCATGTTCAACGCCGGGGTGAGCCGAAAGTATAAGACAATTCGTGTAACGTCTTCTGCACGAGTACATAAATTCTGGAGACAAATTGACGGCTCTTTGATGCACACTGTCCACAATGAAGGAAGAAAATGCGTTCACAATTATTTATCCTGGCTTTGAAATTTCCTCGGGGAAGCGGTGGATACATTTGCAACATTAGCCGACGGTTAGCAGTGGTTTATGTTGCCACATAGGTTTGGATTATCTTCCATTCTCCGGACAAATACATTTTGAATGGTATTATTTGTGTATGCTTACGACATTTGTGTTGTTTATTGTCACGTTATTTTTAGTTTGATGGGTCCGATTTGTCCAAGTGTGTTTGCCGTACGTTTTGCGTCGTACTTGTACTGCCGCTTACGTCACCAAATCGTTCTTCCGGACTGAGCAAAGAGCATTCAGAAATCTCGACACCGAAGTCTCTTTATTGGAGCAATATTTATGAAGTGATTACATGTTCGCTTCCCATTAAACTCGTTTAGGTGCTCGTTGAATCTCTTCGAGCTCAGTGTAGTTAATCTTATTTGAGCTTCTTTTACTTTAGCTTTTCTTTCTGGCCGCTAACAAAGGAGACGCTTTTTTTTTTAATCAACACATCGCTCAGTACAAATCTAAGTGGGAGCGTAAAGCGTTGTGATTATCGTATTAAAAATGTTTGAAAGAAAGAAAGTCAGGTACGAGGGGCGGCTTGGTCGAACGAAAGAGGAGAGCGATCCACACGGAGGAGGTTTGTTCACTTGCTCCCACTTTTTCCGTCAAGTCGAGCTTTCTTCGAGTGCATTCACGTGTTCATTCTCTCCGGAATCCTCATTCGGGCACTGCATGACATTGCGTGTATCAACGTCCAAAAACGTCTCCCGTGTAGATGTGAAAGTGTGTGGGCCCATTTCAGCAGGTTTGCTCTGAAAGGCTTGTGGCTAACGCTGTGCTATTAAAATGGAACCGTTTTGGGGAACCGAAATGGGTTGTCTGGAAAATGCATGCGAGATTTTTCCTTTTTTGCCCCTCCGGGCTGGTTTGCTGAACGCTTGGTCGCGTCAAGTCAAATTAAGATTCATTCTTTGATAAAGAGACACTGCATGCATATTTTAAATATAGTTTTACTCCCTTTGCATTTGTCTCCCAATTTTCACAAGTTAAAACACCTTTAAACGTTGTAAATGTGTTGAGCACGAATGAAAAAAAAAATAGACTCATTGGACAAGCAAAGATTCCATTCGATAAACTTACATGGAAAATAACAAATGACTTAATTACCAACCAAGCAAACACGTTTGCTAAGCTTGCTTTGACTATAAGGACAGAATTGCGTGTGCCTCAAACAGTAAACATTTGAGAGCCGTACGGAACAGCCATTTTCAGTAACAATGTGTAGTCAAGTTCAGTCGATAGCGGGGGGGGGGGGGGGGGGGGGGCTGCATAAAGTGGATTTATCAATGAATCGATATTCCAGAAAGGCGGCATGAATGAGAATACCGTGTTTAGGCTAGTAGGCTCACAAAACATATTGCAAAGAACAGTTGGACTTGACCTACGCTTGGAATATACATTTGATTATAATCACGACGATACATCCGAGTCACTTTACCAAACCGTGTTTTTCCTCTCGTGTCCTGCAGACGTCAGTGAAAAATACCTTCATCCTGACCGGCAGGAGCCAGAGTCCCATGACATGAAAGAGGAGGAGGATTCGGAGCCTATTCAAGTTAAAGCTGAGGAGGAGCAGCAGCCGCCGCCCCCCCTCAGCAAAAATCAAGAGGAGCAGCAGCCACCGCACATTAAAGAGGAGGAGGATTTCACAGAATTGCCAGTGACCGGTGTCCATTTGATGACTGAAGATGAAGGTCAATATGGGGGGGAGAACGGAGGGGCGGAGCCTCCAAACAACGCCCCGAGACAACAAATGACAACCGAAGATGATCAAGACCACTGCGGAGGATCGCAAGCAGACGGCCTCTTTGCTCCGAAATCAGATCGTGACGACACAACGTCACGCGCTCCTCACAGTGATGACGACGACGAGGACGATGATGATGACCAAGGTGATATGACACGTCACACTGACAACAACCTCGGGAAATGTTCTCAGTGTGGGAAAACTTTGGCCTATGAGTCACATTTGAAAAATCGCACGCTACACTACGCTGGAGAAAAAGCTTTTTCCTGCTCCCACTGCGATCATTCCTTCTCCCGGACGGGAAATGTATCAGAATCACAATCGTCGCTATTGGCCAAGTATGTAGAACACACAAGGAATTTGTCTCCGGTAGAAACGCACACAAGAGAGAAACGTTTTGCCTGTTCAGTTTGCGGTAAAAGCTTCTCCTCAAAAGCATATGTCAAATTTCACACCCAAACCCACACTGGCGAGAAAGCTTTCGCTTGCTCAATTTGTGGTCGCAGATTCTTTCAAAAGGTGCACTTGATATCACACACAAGAACACACACTGGAGAGAAACCTTTTGCGTGCTCATTTTGCAATCAACGATTCTCTACCAAAGGGAATTTACGAATCCACACGAGAGTTCACACCGGAGAGAAGCCTTTTGCCTGTTCAGTATGCGGTCAAACGTTTTCCGAGAGCCGCGTTTTGACGAAGCACGTGAGAACGCACACCGGAGAGAAACCTTTTGTCTGCTTGGATTGTGGCCGAAGCTTCTCAACGAAGACTAACTTAAAAACGCACACGAGAACGCACACGGGTGAGAAACCTTTTGCATGCTTAGACTGTGGCAAAAGATTCTCTCAGAAAGGAAACTTAAAGCGTCACACAAGAGCACACTGTGGAGACAAACCTGATGCCTGCTAATTATGTGCCAATGAATGGAACATAAAGTGCACACATACGAGCACGCCCGCATACGCGCGCGCACACACACGCACACACTCATTGTTTGTGACTTCCCCAAAGACCTCTCCGGTGAAGAGGCACAAGTGTGCTGCTGAGATTAGTAATGACTCATCAATCTTGACTGGAAATTTAGAGCCTTAGTTGAAAGTCGTTTGTAAGAGGCTGTCTTCAAATGTACATTCTTGCAGTCTGTCTGCCTTCTTTTATTCTGTCTTTCTGCTTGTGCGCCTTTTTGAAAGCCTCCTGCGGACAAGTGTTGAGACTTGGCACTTGTGCTCAAAGCCGCATCTGCCGTTTGTCCATTTTTGCCGACGTGTCCATCAAGTCAGTGATTGATTTATTGAAAGCGACTGTGGAGCAATGCCGACTCTTTGTGAAAAGGTGCAAAAGTCTATATGTGATCCTGAATAAAAGACACACTTTTAAGCAACGCTAGTAAATGGATTTACGTGGATACTCGATCAATTTTCCCCATCAATATGAATTGAAATGCTATTCATTCAATACCCTCTCTACTCCCCCCGGCCCCAAATCACACCGTATTTGTTGCTGCGTCTTCGTAATGAAGGAACGTAGCATCAAACGTGAGAACATACTGTCAAGACGTCAATGGCTCAAAGTGCACCAGGACTCCCTTTGCTCATATGCGAGGGCATTGCACTACTGTACCTCGATCAACCTTTTTTCCGCTTCGCTCAATCAGAGGCGTATCTCAAGCTCAGTCTTACGGCAGGACAGCTTTATTTCTTATTGATTTGGTACACAAGGTAACGCAATGTGCCGCACCCAACTAAAAGTGCAACATTTAAAAGCATTCGTTGCGTTTATGATTTGACTTTATGTGAACTGTTTTGTTCAGCGCTTTGTTACAGCTGCGGCCGTTGTGAAAGCGCTCTATCAATCGGGATGTACTGTATATTATTTGAATACAAATGATCTTCAAAAGCAAAGAAACAAAAATAGATCTTGTATTTTTGTTTCTTTGCTTCAAAACAAAAATAACATACAGTACATGTAAAAGAGCTTTAAAATTTGAATGATAAAAACGATGTCATATACCCGAGCATACATTTTAACCTCAACTTAAAAGCAGTCCCACTTGGGGCTGACGTCCACTTCATAATTGCTATATTGCCTCGCGGTATGCTAACGTTAGGATGATAACCTTTACTTTGAAGAAAACACCGGATACTCTGACCTCAAAGTATTCGAGTAATCGTGTGAACGTTCTGTGTCTGTAGAAGGCCAAATGTTTGCCGGTAAAATACTCTCTACGTTCATATTTCTCCAATCACATATCCTTTGTGCCGACGTTTTCCCGTGACAATAGTGGACCTTCCACTTGTTGTTTTCGTGAGGGTGAGGGTGGCGTTTCTATTCGCTCTTTTTTTTTTAAGCCACACAAAGTTTGTCCGGGTGGTACTGCCGTAGAGCTTGCGTCGAAGCGTGACTTGAGCACGCGTTTTTGTACAACTCTTCCCGAATTAGTACAGTACGTACTGAAGCCCGGACACAGTTAACGCCTCACCGTTTCCTTGGGAAACTACGTTCGTCTTTAAATGGCGTCCGGTTAAACTCGGTGCTCCTCGAAGCTTCTCGGCCTCGGTTAGCTTACCTCGGCTTATCTTAGCATAGCACCGCTTAGCTTGCTCACGGCTAACAAACGATCCACACATTCGCTCAAGTTTGAGCCAAACGTGTCGCGGTTGTCCTGTGAAAATGCGCGCGAGGCACACGGTAAAATACGACGAGGAACTCGGTGGAACAAAAGAGGAGACCGAGGGACGACGACGACGTCGTCAAACGCTGTTCGCGGTTTGCCGGAGGCCTCCAGTTGCCTCAGCCGGAGCAGGTTCGGTCACTTGCGCTCTCTCGCTTCGTCAATTCTTTCGGTCAGTCTTTCATGATATCGCCGCGGTTCGTTGGTTTTGCTCTCTCCATCCCGGCTCTTTACCACCACGCGTTTAGTAGAACCTGATTAGCATCCAAGAATGTGTAGTACAACCAAAACAAAAGCAACAACGGCCATACGTGGCTTTGAAAAAGAAGTGTTTGCCACTTTGTAAATACGGTAAAGGGAGCATTTCTCACGATCTGATCCGAAAGGGTTGTGTAGCAATCCTGGCCGCCCTTCGCACACAACGGTCACAGTCATCGGCTACTTGACGATTATGAATTAGTACCTTGGTGTACTCTTGGACAGTAGTTGCACAAACTTAACATCGGGTCTCGTGATTTATGACGGGGAATTGTAGAACATAACTTTCGAGCCTTAAATATATCGAATGAAATGTGTTGCCAAGGACATTATTTGGACCTGCCATTCAAAATGTTGTAACTTTTTTTAGGTACTCTTTTGTGTTTATTAGATGTTTTTTTTTTTCAGTTCCATGACCTTTGATCGCCTCGCAAAAGAATTGAAATGATGAAACCGTGTATGTTTGTCTTCTCGTGTCGTGCAGACGTCTGCGAAAAACATCTTGTTCCTGAGCCGCAGGAGCCCGAGTTGTGTGACATTAAAGAGGAGGAGGAGGCGTTGGAGGCCCCCGATGTCAAAACGGAGGAGCAGCCGCAGCCTTCATGCATTAAAGAGGAGGAGGATTTCGCAGAGTTGCCAGTGACTGGTGTCCATTTGAAGACTGAAGATGAAGGTCAACATGGGGGGGAGAACAAAGGGGCGGAGCCTCCAAGCAGCAGCTCAAGTCAACACATGAAAACAGAAGGTGATGGCGACCACCATGGAGCGCCGCAAGCAGACAGCCTGTTAGCGCCACTGTCAGATAGCGACGACATCGCGTCAGACTCTCCTGACACTGATGATGATGATGATGATGAGCAGTCGGAAGGTGATCTGACACATCACACTGACAGAAAACGCTGGAAATGTTCTCAGTGCGGAAAGACTTTTGTCTACAAGTCTCTTTGGAAAATGCACATGATTGTCCACACCGGAGAAAAACCTTTCACCTGCTCAATTTGTGGTCGAAAATTCTCTCAAAAGGGAAGCTTAAGACGGCACACGATTACACACACAGGAAAGAAAGCTTTCGCCTGCTCCGTGTGCGGTCAACAATTCTCTCAAAAAGGAAGCTTAAGAAGACACACGATAACACATACGGGAGAGAAAGCGTTCGCCTGCTCAGTGTGCGGCCTAAGATTCTCTTATCGACACACTTTGGCCAATCACACAAGAACACACACTGGTGAGAAAGCGTTTGCCTGCTCGGTGTGTGACCGAAGATTCTTTCAAAAGGTACACCTAATATCGCACACGAGAACACACACAGGAGAGAAACCTTTTGCGTGCGCATTCTGCGACCTCCGATTCTCTGTCAAAGGAAATCTAAGAATCCACACGAGAATACACACCGGAGAGAAACCCTTTGCCTGTTCAGTATGCGGTCAAAGGTTCTCCGAAAGCCGCGTTTTGACAACACACATGAGAACGCACACCGGAGAGAAACCTTTTGCCTGCTCGGATTGCGGCCGCAGCTTCTCCACAAAGGCAAACTTAAAAACGCACACGAGAACGCACACGGGCGAGAAACCCTTTGCCTGCTTGGTTTGCGGTCAAAGATTCTGCGAGAGGCGCACTTTGACCACGCACACGAGAACGCACACTGGAGAGAGACCTTTTGCTTGCTCGCTGTGCGGTAAAAGATTTTCTTCGCGGAGGTACTTCCAAGCGCACGCCAGAACGCACACTGGTGAGAAACCCTTTGCCTGCTCAGTCTGCGGTCAACGATTCGCTCACCAAGGCAACTTAAACCGTCACACCAAAGCGCACAGTGGAGAGAAGCCGTATACTTGCTCGGTGTGCGGCAAAGGATTCCCTCGAAAAGAGACATTTAGGGCACACTCAAAAACACACACCGGCTGCTCAGTATGTGGTCAAAGTTTCTCTCGTAAGGATCAGGTCAAAAGACACATTTGCGCCGGTGAGCGCAGCAGAGATCAATGAAGCTCGAAATGAAAATTGACATTTGTATTGAAATTGATTTCACTGACGCCGACTTGAAACATTTTTGTTTTTGTATTCTGCTGCTCGTGTTCTCGGTATCTTCTTCAGAGCCTCCTGCGGAAAAGGGTTGACAACTAGCACTCGTGCTAAACCACTGAAGGCAACGTGTCTAGTTTCTCTCACGTTTTTGGTGACGTCCATGTCAAAGAAGTAGACGATTGACCGAAAGACCTTTTAGTTTATTCTGATAAGATGGAAAAGTGTAAATATGCTCCTGAATAAAATAGCGTTTTCCAGACAGTGGGACGAACTGCATTTATTTGGGGCGGTGGCGAGCTTCCGGTGAAAAGGTCAAAGGTCAGAGCTGATGACTTGTGGAGGCCCAAATGACAGTGAAAGTGTTTCATTAGCTCGTCCGGCTAACACCCAACTCCACTTTTAAGTTCCCGCATTTCTTTTTTTTCCGCGAACCTTCAGAGGAAGTGGGCGATCGTTCAGTTGCACGATTCCCAAATAAGAGCGATGAAGAAAAGGAGGGTCTCGCCCTGGGGAACGTCGCTGAGGAGAACCACCGTGGCAGATTCACTCGTATTGATACGCATTGACACATTCCTCACGTTCTTATACAAGGCATTGAGACCTCCGTAGGTTCCCGGTAGCGAGAAGCGCGAGCGTGAAACATTGGCGTGCTTCGCGTGTTCGCCTCTTGTGAAATGTGTCCAAGGGGAGGCGCCGTACTCGTCGGCGGGAGCTGTCGCAACTGGCGCTAGTCGCGCGCACTTCACCTCGTACGCGTGTCGCTTCTGTGCTGAGCGAAGCCTGGCTACCGGACGGCACACGCCTCGCTACTGTTTTGGAGCGAACGATCACTCGTGAAATCCTCGTGTGCGGTCAAACTGGCGTCCGTGCACGTTGAAGATTCTCGGCCTTGCTTAGCTTTTCTGAGCTAGCCGCAAACAAAAGGGACGCGCTTGCTGCCAACCAACTCCTCGGTAAGCACAGATCACGCGTGAGCGTCGACTGGCCTTTTTTCCTGACCTTTTCTTCATTCATTTCCAAAAATAGCAAATGTCGAAAAGATCACATCTGGTAGTTCGAGCAGTTTCCAAGCAATGCGCACTGTTGTCCACGTTGCAATGCGGCACGATGTACAATGTTTGTATCCGTGCTTCTCTAGCAGTGCCATCAACGAGTATTCAGGGCAGTGCTTCTCAATTATTTTGTGTCATGTCCCCCCCCCCCTCGCCTCCGGGGATTTTTTTTCAACTCTCCCTTTTAATCCGCGAATATAAATAGTATAATTTGTCTGTAAAATTGTTATAAGTACACCTCTGCATACAACTGCATACTTAGCGTAAGTGTTTAAACACATAAACATGCTAATTGGAGTGTTTGCCTTCTTGCGTCCCGCAGACATGGGTGAAAAATACCTCAGCCGTGAGCAGCAGGAGCCGCGGTTGCCTGGCATTAAAGACGAGGCGTCCGAGCATCTTTGCATTCGAGAGGAACAGCAGATGCAGCTCTCCAACATCGAAAAGGAGGAGGAAGAGCAGGTAGATGACATCATAGCGTTGACGTCGACTGGTGTCCCATTGAAGAGCGAAGATGACGGTCATTATGAGAATGGAGGGGCAGAGCCTCTGAGCGGCTGCCCAAGGCAACACTTGACAACCGAAGGTGATGGCGACCTCTGTGGAGGATCGCAAGCAGACGGCCTGTTAGCACCGTGGTCGCAGAGCGACGACACCTCGCAGTCTCTGTGCACTGATGATGATGAGGAGGAGGATGACGATGACCAAATGACACGGCGCACCGACAACAAACGCTGGAAATGTTCTCGGTGTGGAAAAACGTTTGTGTATAAGTCACTTTTGAAAAGCCACATGATATCCCACACTGGAGAGAAACCTTTTGTCTGCTCAGATTGCGGTAAGAGATTCTCTCATCGGGGCCACTTGAGAACACACGCAAACACACACACTGGTGAGAAACCTTTTGCTTGCTCAGTATGTGGCCAAAGATTTTCTCAGAATGGAAACTTAAGGACACATATCAGAAAGCACACTGGAGAGAAGCCTTTTGGCTGCTCAGTTTGTGGCCAACGCTTCTCTACACAGGTGAGCTTAAAAACACACACAAGAACCCACACTGGTGAAAAACCATTTGCCTGCTTAGTTTGCAATCAAAGATTCTCGGAAAGGGCAAACTTGAGGTCACACACAAGGACGCACACTGGAGAGAAGCCTTTTGCCTGTGCAATATGCGGTCAGGGATTCTCTCAGAAGGGAAGCTTAACAATACATACAAGAACCCACACTGGTGAGAAACCGTTTGCCTGCTCAGTTTGCGGTCAAAGATTCTCTGAAAAGGGAACCTTGATCAAACACGCGAGAACGCACAGTGGAGAGAAACCTTTTGCCTGCTCAATTTGTGGTCAATGTTTCTCTCAGAGGGGGAACTTAAAAGTACACACAAGAACCCACACTGGTGAGAGTGCGCAAAGATTTTACAACAGGGAACGTTTATAAGAATGTGTTGGTGAGTAACAGAAGAAGCCTATCACGAAATATCAATCTTGAAAGTAGTTTCTCAGACATTGATTGTCAGATGTCCTGTTTGAGGGAGTTTCCTGAAAGCCTGTTGTGCGCAGTAATGAGAAGTGGCACAAGTGCAAAAGCAGAAAAGAAAGAAAGAAATAATCTGCTTTGTCTGAAGTTGTGACCGAAGTTTAGCACGTGTCCATGACATGAGGAAAAAATAATAATTATACAGAGGAAATATTTATCAACATACTGAATAAAGAATGACATCATTTATGATTCTTTTGCGCTTTTTATTGGATGTAACACACACACACATGATTACACATTAAGTGCTTGTCCGGTTTGACGCACACACACACACACACATACACATTATTACACATTAAGTGCTTGTCCGGTTTGACATGCAAACGCAAAGGAGTACACTTCTGCCATATTTCTAGAAACCCTTATTTGAAATCCTCTCCATAGTTTAAAATGCTAATTTTAACCCCCAAACCTAGTTTGACTTAGAAAGCCTTACCTAAAATCCTGTTTTTAGATTAAAACCGGAATGTGAACCTTGAACTTTAATTTAAAACCCTACTTTGAAATCCGAAACCTCGTGTGAGAATCTAACCCCAGTTTGAAATCCTACTTTGAATCCCTAAACCTAATTTAAACACTAATATTAAACGCTGACCACGTTTAAAAGCCTACTTTTACACCCGATTCAAATGAACAGGTTCAATGTCAGGCTTCCGCAGAGCTTGCTGATGATCTGATCATTTGAATCAGGTGTGTTGCAACAGGGGGACTTGGAAAACGTGCAGGACAGCGGCCCTCCAGCACCTGAGTTTGACACCTGTGACCGAAGAAAACAAAGCCCCAATCTCCGAAGGCCTGAAAGTGTCTCCCTCCGGTGGACACGCCGCGCCATCGCACCCCTCCAATCCGTTTGAATCCTCGAAGGTCCGCTTTGTGCTCGTCGACCCGGTATGGGCAGCCCTTCCCAGCAGCAAAACCAATGACGGCGCGGGAAAAAATGCTGTCCCCTCGTATGACTAACTGTTGGATGATTTAACTTTTTGTTTCTCCGTTCTTCCGTCGATCAACTCGTTTTTTGAATTATCTACGCAAAAACAAAACATAGCCCGAGCTCCGAAGGCCTGTATTTGTCTCCCTCCGGTGGACACGCCGCGCCATCGCACCCCTCCAATCCGAATTTCCAGTACAATCACGGTACCACATTAAAAACCAAACTTATGAAAGCAAACTGAAATCAGTCTGAACTGATGCTGAAAAGAGAGAAAAAACGACTGAATAAATAATGTATCCAAAACAAACAAGAAAATAATTGTCACAAAACATGCATTTAAACGCAATTCTTAGTGCCGCAA